GCAACCTTCTCGACTTAACATCTCCTATACCGATACCCTCATTGCCTTGGCAGCTCCTGACTATTCTATCCCTGTACAACACAAACAGGATAGTAGACAGGACGCAGCCTTGCCGGGGACCAGTACAAACGTCGAATGGTTTCGACTACAGGCCATTAACTCTGACGCAGCACCTGCTATCATAACACAGTGATTGGATGGCACTTAGAAGCTGGCCATCAATCTCGTATGCACGAAGGTTGTCCACAGACTGTTGCGTGGGATCCGGTCATACGCTTTCTCTAGGTCCACAAAATACATGTTCACCGGCTGGGCGCACTCCCAAGATTTCTCCCCACGATCTGGCGCAGGGCAAATATATGGTAAGAGGTGCTTCGACCGGGCCGGAAGCCACACTGCTCTTCTTGGATCTTGAGGTCCACTATTTCACGGCACCTCCTTTCTAACACCTTTGCGTAGAATTTACCTGGGAGGCTCAATAACGTTATGCCCCTAAAATTGGAGCATTCCTTGTGGTCTCCCTTCTTGAATACGGGTACAATAACACTCGTTCTCCTGTCCGCTGGTGTCTTTCCCGCAGTCATCGCAGTTTGACAGACACGTGTTAGCCAGCACATGCCTTGTTGGCCTAATGCCTTGAGCATTTCAGGGCGGATTTCGTCAATTCCAGCAGCTTTCCCATTTTTCAAGCTTCTCACTGCTTGTGCAATTTCATCTACAGAGATAGTAATATCGGTGCTCTTCTGTTCTACATGCGAGTCTTCCTGCAGTTGCGCGGGGTTAAGGGGTTATGCAAAGGAGAAGGTGTAACCATCCATCACTGAAGAATATCATTATCTTGGTAAGAGGGTGTCCAGACCTGTCCTTCAAGACTTTGGTACTGCCCGTCTTTTCGCTTTGGAACCGACGGATGGTCTGCCAGAATACTTTGTTTGCCGTGTGGAAATTCGACTCCAACGCCTCACCGAACTTCTACCGGGAATCAGCCTTGGCTTTTGCCACTGCTATGGCTGCCGCCTTGCGTGCCTCGACATATCGCACGCGAGTAGAAGGCTCCTTGTTTCCTAGCTTCTTTCTTCTCTTTAACCGTCCGTTATAAATCTCGTGTCCACCATGAAAATCTTTTCTGTCCTCCAGGCGGTAGGCCATCCCGTTTAAATTCGCAGGTTTCCGCGGCAGCCTCGAGTGTGCCGCTCTTAAACAGCTGCCACTCGGTTTCAACATCAGTTGTCTTCCCCGGAATCTGTTCAAACCGTGGTGTCACATTGTTTGCAGATTTCGCCCTCGTATCCACGATTGTTTCCGATTTGATTCTCTGGTCGCTTCTGTTTCTGTCATCAGATCTTCGTATGGTACTCCATTTCTCACAGCGCAGTGTGCCAACAACAAGGTGATGATCAGTTGGTAGCTCTGTTCCGCTCCTAATGCGAACATCTATTACTGAGCATCTTAACTCAGACGATATGATAATGAAATCGATCATCGACTTCTCTGAACAAGCTTTCAGGTATCAGGTATGCTGATGGACGGTGCTCGATGGTTTTCAAAATGGACAATCCGTTGTTTGCACAAAACCACAACAATTTCATGCGATTATTGTTAAAATCGCTAGGGCGGTTCTGTCCAATCACGTATTTCCAGTTTTCAGTATCTGCTCCGAAATGCGTATCAAAATCGCCCATTAGAATTATACATCCCACTTCCTCAAGTAAGGACTCATATTCTTTCTCAAAAATGGGCGTATAGACCCGTAACAAGGTCAAAGCTTTAGCCTGTAGTAGCTTCAGTCGGACGATTGCCACTCTGTCCCCAACAATTAAAAGATTCTATCAGCCATGTTGGGCCTACCAGAACACCAACACCTGTCTGAGGGCAAGTCGTGATGTCGACACCTGAGCAGAACTGCTCGCACAGGCTCAAGATTCCAGGCGCTTCTCTGACGAGAGTCAAATTATGTCGAGTTGGTACCTTGCAGCCTCATCAACCAGCTCATGCTCAATCCCTCTGAGTGAGGTAAGATTCCAGTTTCTGCCTGTAAGCTCTTATTGGCGGTGTCGGTAGCGCTGAGTATCTTCTGACGTGCTATAATGGGATCGTGCTATCTACCTCCTTCGTTCAGAACGGGTAGCGACTTCTTCGCTGATTGGCATCTTAGTCGTCGTAATGAAACGACAACTAATACACCAAACATTACATTCAGATACAGATTTTTCCTTTATTGTTCCACATGGAATGAGGGAATGCAAATCATATTGATCGTGGAGCAGCAGCCGAAACGATTTACATGCCGAATGGCTAGCCACTTTTGGGGGGAAGTGGACTATTCGACTATGCACTTTTATTGGTACCAAAACTTTAGGTCTGGTTTGGAGGAGTAATAGTGTTAAAGGTGTATCGAGGTTACAAGCGTAGATAATGGCTTCAGAAACTTAGAGATGAAACATAGCGACGCTCTGCTAATCACGCATGCATAATGCTGTCAGTTCATCTTGTTTCGTGTTTGCTGTGCCGAACATAACATAGCCTCCAGAACTTTCTTGTTTCATCAGCTAGTTTTCTCCTTGACTACTTTGCTTGCATTCCAAGGAACAACGTGGCTGTTACTCTGCTCGCCTTGCCGTCATAAGCCTCTTTCATTTCTTTCATCGATATGCGTAAATTTTCTGCACCCCTTTTTGAGCTCTGTCTCGGTTTTCCAAACGTAATTCTAACCACAACAGCAGTTCATACAACAGGTTAACAAATACTAGGTTTTTAACCTGTCTATTTTCGCACACCTATATCACACTGAAAGTCGTCCAGTTTGTTAGGGGAGTAACAAACCATCATTTGGGCTGTATCTAGTCATCTACTGTTTCACTTAGATTCCTAAGAAAACCCTAAAATCACAAGAGCAGTGGCCTCTGACACCGTTGAGGACTGTATCTCCATTGGCCGTTACCTCTTCCCAGCACATAGCCGACTGTCGAAGTGTTCCTGGATTAAACCTTTGGGGAGTTGCTTCTTCCAGCCCTTCAATCAGTCTACAGACTTGCAAAACAGTTAAAGAATAACTGTGCGGTTCGTAAATATGTC